ACTATTCTCTATACCACATCTGACTTTGCACCTTGCAATGACAGTTCTGTCCTGACTGCAATGTTCACAGATACTTCAATAACAGCCAAGCTGATGATCATCACTTTATAAATTCTCAGTCCATCCCTGATGTCTCCTCACCTTTTCATTACCAAAGTAACAGCATAAATGACACAGTGGATGCTCAGCAAGACAAATCACTGGAGTGTTCCTTTCAGACAACGTCTGCCCTCACTTCGGCTGATGACAACGGTTAAAGCCTAGTTCACAAATCCCCCTCATACACTACATGATTTAGTGAGCTGATTGGGCAAAGGAGTGTGTGTGTGTGTGTGTGTGTGTGTGTGTGAGTGAAGTATTATGTCAGTGAGTCTTTCTTTAAATGTGCGTGTGTACGTGTGTATGTGTGTCTGTGTCTGTGTGAGCCACAGGGGAGATCGAAAGAACCAAAATGCCTGAGCAAGACTCATGCAGGTAGCTTAAAAAAAATGATGTGACCATTCACACTCAATATTTGCCATATAATCATTTTATAGATCGGCGCAAGCTGCGATACATACGAGCACATTTGATGTTAAGGGTGGGCGAATTGGCCCTAAAATAATGTCACAAAATTTCAGGGTATTATTGCGATAACGATATTCTTGACGATATGACAACTTATTCATTGAAGAACACAGAACTGCAACAAAATAAGTGCTACAGTTTTATATGTAAACCACAACAACAAACAGTCTGCCTTCAAATATTCAGTTAAAACTAAACAAAAGTTATCTCTCATTTCTGTAATTTGTAAACAACAACAGTAACTCAGAGTGAGATTCAGATTCAGAACAAAATCTACCACAAATTACACATTTAAACAGCTCTCAAATACAAAAAAGATGTACCCTGGGTTCTATAATTCAACAGGCGATTTCCTTCTCTTTTAGCAAAATCCTAAATGATTGAGTTAGGGTTTTTTCCCACCTGGACCTTTATGCTCTGCCATTTCGCCTCTAATCATCAAGCTGTAACCTGTGACAGGCTGTTACGCTATAATAACTATCGCACATTCACATCTGTGTAGTGTTTTGCAAAGCCGCAAGTGGCATGTAGGTTTGCATTACCAAAGGTTTATTACAAAAAGATACCGACTCCCATGTGTGTGAAGAAAAGACAATACTGAAGCTGCCCCCCTTTTTGGAACGGCTGCGGAGTCTGTAATACTTTCACTTTCTGCCACGCTTGCCGTTGTAGTGGGAAACAGTATGAAGTCAATGTCAACAAGTATGAATATTGCAATATGAATTTTTCCTATGATATTAAGAATTATACTGGTATTATTGTGGACGGGACGATATGGCACACCCCTATTTGATATCATTTGATATATCGCCCACCCCTATTTATTATAATACTGTGTTATTCCACAAATACAATACAACAGAAGAAAATTATCAACCGACCCTGAAATTCCCAAATTCTCTTCACTTTATCATTTTTCTTGAAATGTCAGTTAGCAAGGGTTTTTTTTGACAGAAGATTTCCGAACTGAAATGACTGAAACAACAAAATAGTCCTCCTCGTTGATCTGGCACCCTTTAAAATTTCCATTTCTTCCATCTCAGGTCACCACAGGTCAAATGTGCACACACCATAATGGCAGCAGTTATACTCAGGGCTAAAGGTCATAAGTCCAGACAGCTCTGGGTCCTCATGTCTGACTTTATCCAGGTACAAGTACAAGAACATGATGGCTGCTAGTTCTGCTAACAAGCAGTGATTCATTCAGGGCTTATGAAAACATGTGCTCCACTTAGGTCACAGAGACTCCACTTCAACATCCTTTCTTACTGCAAACACTCATAATCTGACTTGAACCACGACTTCAACTTGAGGAAGGAATGGGAAGCTTTACTTATACTTGTCACACATGACTATATTCAGTAGCTACAGCCTATCTTTTTTTCTAGAACTTGAAAACTGGAGATAATTTGATTTGGGTCTTACACAATATTAACCATGTTACAATGCTCCAAGTGGCTTTCCATTCTAGTGCAGCTTCACTGGCTCTCTCCTGCTGTTGAAAATGACTTAATCCCCAAAACATGTTGGTCTTAGAAACGTTTCAACAAATGTGTGTCGGGCTAATTCATATGGAGTTACAATATCTTCAAAATAAATTGCATTCAGTGTTGTTGTTCATCACAGGAAACATAAAAAAAACATGGAAATGAGTTTACATTTAGAGGAGCAGACAATCATGTGAGCATGCACAAGACTAAGCAGGCACAATGTCTGGGCACACCCTGGTTTTCCCAATGCTACCAACAATGCAAAATAAATGAGCAATCATCATCATCATCATCATCATCATCATCATCATTGGAAGGGGATATTCAATCTCATTTCCTGGCTTATACTAAGCCCCCAATTCTGTTATGAGGCAATGGGAACAGATGGATGGGGTTTAAGAAGGCACTAAACTGTGAGAGGAGACCATCACCCATGAGACACACAAACACAAAAGGTCACATACTCTCACTAGCAGCCCCTGTGATGGACCGCCAGCCATGACACTTGTGATCAAATGTATATTAATAATCACTCTGAATATTGCACAAGTTATTGTGTTCAGAAAATAACATGAAGACCTGCATCTGAAGTTTAATCTGAAAAAGTTCCCTCAGCCACAGCATGATTCTTTCCTGGTTATTAACTTGCACTTTATTCATGTGCAGTTTATGCAGTTAAATATATGAAGATGACATTTTTGATGGGAACCTTAAATATTAGCTAATGCTCTACTGAAAGAACATCATCTTTGATTGCAATACAGCGCTCAACTTGGATAAATCTTGCTACATGACTGATAAATGCATACTAATTTTAAGACGTGATGAAGTTATCTGACACATGATTTAAATCCTCAACTGATTTTCTGAGGCACGTTTTCTTGTAAAATGCATGTTCAGTGAACAGAATATCAATGAAAAAGATGACCAATTGTGTTTTTGTCATGTATTAATAAACACACATACTCAACAAAATGAAACCCATTTTACACCAAAATTATCATATGTATGCAGGTTTTTTAATACGAGGCAAAGCGGCACAGAGCCTGGTGAAAATGTTACTGTGGTTAATTCTGTTTATATATATCTTACTTATTCAGTCTCTCACTTAAATTTGGGCGAAAAATTAATTTGGAACAATGTTTGAGCAATGTTTGCGTGGAGACAGACAGTATTTTCTGGTGGCCTGTCAGTGTATCTCACCAGTGAAGGGGCTTAAAATAGCACGTTCACCTGCATACTGTATGGTGGCAAAGCTGATTGGAGCAGGAGTCGATAAATACCTGTGACTACTGTAGGGCTGTCAAAATTGCTCAAAAATGACGTTCGAATATTCCTTCTAAAAATAACTCATAGGTTCGAACCATTCGAATATTTTTTTTTCCGCATTATGTCCACAAGAGGGCAAACTAATACAAGGAAACATACTTGTATATGTATTAATACAAGGAAACGTAACTACTTGTAGGTATTTTTATTTCAACATAAACGTCTTTGAAAACATTTACATACCTACACATTAAAACACATAAAACAATTATCTATAACATTACGTTATAAAGGACCGCGGACCTCTCGCTCGCCCCCCCTCTCTGACCCATGACCACACCGCCCGCGGAAGCGCTGCGAATAGCCTCGAAGCACCGGACCGTGACCGGCTCACGCCCTGCAGCGATCGTTTCGGCGTCTGATCTATTTTCTGCACGAGCCGCGAGCGAATGTGTCAAGCCGAGTGACGGAGACAACAGCTGGGAGCAGAACCGCTTGTCGACCAGGCTGGAGAAATGCGCGTCTGATGCCAACACCTACTCGCAAAGATGACAGCTGCGGTGGTGTGGTTTTTTTTTTTCTCTCCACAATTGAATATCAATTTTCACATTCGAGGTGTTAGTTGTTCTTTTCTGCAGTGAGGATGGGGCTTAAGAGAAAAAGAAAAGGCAAAAGCAATCCGGGGGACATTACAAAAACAAAGGTGATATGAAGATAACAAAATTTGCAAATTTGCACATACCACATTATTTTATTGTTTATTTCTTATTATTGTTTGTTAGCTAATATGTTTCTTTATGTTGTTTTTTCATTAGCTCTTGTTTTTGTTTGTAACAAATACAAAGGGTTTTGTTTTGTTTTTTTGCTTTAGGGGGTGGGTGGGGGCACCAGGGGATGCTTGCCTAGGACGCTGAATCTACTAGGTCCGGCACTGTACATTCGGCATCTGATACATGAATAATAACGTACTTTGAGAAAAAAAAAAAAAAACATTTTAAATCTGACTAATCTGTTAATAACAAGCTTGTTTTGGCCTGGACATAATATGAGGTAAACTAGTGAGAAAGAGAGTTAGAACTAACCCTGAGTAAACCTAGCACGGTCTGGGAGAGTGATGATGAACCAGGGGTTGGTTAAGGCTGGCTGCCCAGAGCTGTAATGTTGTGCCTGTAAATTGAGTAACACTAAGAAATTTGGCGCTATCGGTCTGCTCAAGTGTCGGAGCACTTTGCATTTAAATACTGTTTAATGGTGGTCACACCTCATACAAAATAATGAACATAAGTGATAGCTGGTGCCTTGGAGCGACGACGCCTAGAGGATGTTTATTGGATAAGTTAGCTAACTCAAGTGAAGCACACTGTGAAGCAGTCATTGCGCTTTAGAAGGCTAACTTCAGCTAAAGTGGCTAATATGAGTTAATAAGCTAATGCCTGAATGAAAACAAAGCAGGGGAGGGTTCAAATATGCACACAAAAACGATATTAATAGTGAGAAGTTGTTCAAATGACGTTACAACTTAATTGATATTGCTATTCATATGACAGAGGCTTGGTCATTTCGAGGGAAAGAGGTAGAAAAAACACGCATTTGTAATTGTAAGTGAGTAATGATAGTAAGAACAAGAGTAACGTTAGGTTGTGTTCGGACTACACCGCCCAAACTGCCACTCACCTTGCCCTGTGTACAACTCTTCAGTCACTTGCTCCAAACGCTGCTTTACTCCTCGTTCCGATGAAGCGAACAAGTTTTCACTGGTTTCATTCAAAGTATCCAAATTGTCTGCTACCGAAGCTCGTACACTCACACAAACCAACCGAGACAGATAACGTTATTTCTCGTGCTTACGAGGTCACAAATTCCATTGTCGTTCAGTCCAGACTTGTCCTCAGGCATCCAACTTTCACTAGTTTACCCACCTAACGCCTCAGTGGAAAAAAAACTCAGAGCAGTTATTCCATGCAGTAAAAAGTACACTAATGCTTAGTTTTGTATCTTTCCTCTGCCTGGTTTTACTCAGCAGGTTTCTCACCCCACATGTAGCCGGTAAGTAGTGGTGAGAATGGGTTGTTACTGCGCTCCGCGGCCAGCTCTCCACAGGCGGAGAAAGGGGGTTTGGCAAAGGGGGGGTATACCATGCTGCCTTCAAGTGCTCCTCGTATTTTCTAAAACCAAGAAAGACCGAAAGAAGGCACACATTGCTCATTTCGAAAAATAAGTCTAATTTTGTTGTGCCCGGCCTTGGTTGTAGATACAATTAAATGAACAGAGCTACTTTTAGGGCCGCACAATATGCAAAAAAATAAATAAAAAAAATACACTGCTTCACCCTGGTTCCCTTGTCAAAAGGTCTATGGGATTTTTTTCATTGGATTTTGGATAAGAAAATAAGCTTTGTGGCAAACAAACATTTATGATACTTAGATGTTTTGTTCAGCAAGATATACAAATTAATACCACTTTTATGATTTTTGAAGCCTAAATGCAATCACCAGAGTTAAAAAGCTAACATTAGGCTATGAAGAAACTACATAAGTTGCACATCTTAACGTCGCCCCCGCAGCACAGCTGTAAAGGCATGATGACATTCTGTAGTCTCATTTAGCCACTTGTTAGCAACCACCTTTTTTTAAACAAATAAAAGCTTAACAATCCTGAGTGGGGTATTTACTGAAATGTTCATGTCATAGGACAAAACATGTTAATCTCTTCAGCTTGTGTTAACCACAAACCCACAAACCTTATTTCAGGCAACCAAAAACCCATTCAAAAACCCACTGACTTTGAGACAAGGGAATTGAGAGAGGTGCAACTTTAACTTACAGGTTTTAGGACTCATTCCTGGGGCACTCTATTGCAATTTTGATAAAAGTCTGATCAATTGTGAAGCCCAAGCTACTTTTCAGAATAGAACAATGAGGACTGAACTTGGTGGCATCTTGTTCATAATGATATACAAATAAAGGGGAAAGCTTTTAACCATATACATCTCTCTCTCTCTCTCTCTCTCTCTCTCTCTCTCTCTCTCTCTCTCTCCTTCCCTTTATGTGTGTGTGTGTGTGTGTGTGTGACTTTCTGCCTACAAAAAGAGAGGGGATGATATTTAGAGCAAAATCTGATCTGTATTGTGAAGAGCAGCAAGAGAACACTGTCCAGAGGGAGCTGACCTCATCAGTGTTTTAGCTCTCACATCACTTAGATAGACTATACTGAGGTATGAAGTATCACCATCTATTTATGTTGGTAAACATGAGCATTTACTGAAATAATGTCATGTCATACTTGTGCTTCCACTGTGGTGTTTGTCAGTGCGCGCGGCAATGTATTATAAGTGCAATATTTCCCCCAGCATTTAAAGGCAGCATTAGCTGCTAGAGAAATGACTGGTACAAGGTAGACACCTTCTGGCCAACTGGAGACATGTATCCCATATACTCAGCATGGTTTTGATATCCGGAGGTTGTCACTTTACAGACCACTATTTAAACACACACACTTATAGTTATCTGCTAAATCCATCTAACAGCAGTAACATCTGCTGAGAGAGATGCATTTGGCTAGTTATACTGGTGAAAGCTTTGATGTAAGTTCATGTATTAACATTAACTTATCTCTCTTGAACACCCCTGAGAATGCCTGTCCCCACTTTAAATACCTTTAAATACTTTTATGTTTCTGGACTCTATATAGTGTTAAGACAACTAATAGAAGGACATGAAGAAGATGAATAAATATAATGTCTTCCTTGCTATTTTCAAACAACCACCAGTCTTCAGCTACAATGAAGCATGAGAGAGGATTCAGTAAGCATTAAGCTGGTACTGGAACTGAAGCTGAAAATATTACCTATGCTGCATGATGCTGTCCAGGGTTCAGCCCTCATCTGCTCCTCCTTTTGCAGAGGATGTGCCACTTAAGAGAGACCACACAGAGCTCACAAAACCTGCTGCACTCACTTGTCATCTTCAAGGAGGGTCTCCCTCCCACTCCCTCTCCCTCTGTATCTTTGTCCCCTCATGTGAAAAGAAGCCTTTTATCTCCCCTCTCTTAATTCTCCTGTAATGAGGACCAAGGCTGTTTAAGCTACACACACACATCAAAGATCACTCAGCCCCAGCCACCATGACACCACCAAGTTCAAAGGCAAGACAACAAGACGGAGGTTACAGTGCAGGTCTACTGCCATTGTTAAAATATTCATTTACAAATACATGTCAGCAAATATTGTAATCAAAACTTTACACAAATTTGTCTTTCATCATGCAAAATATGTAAGCCCAGTTGCCAAAGGATTATGTTGGCATTGTACATTTCTGCAAACCACTAATAAGTTACATTTGCTCATTTCATATATCATATCAACGTTTCTGAAGTTAGGTAGTATTTGAGCTGACACTGTCATCAGGAGGTGGAGGGGATGGTGGCTTGTGTGACACATAGATGACCAACAAACAACAAAACCTGCTGTGTTTCCAGCGGCTTTATTAGGCACTGAACATGAGTGTTTTTCAGTGACCCATCGCTGTTTTCCCAGTGGGGATAGGGCCCCCAAATCCAAATAGTTTAAGCCAAAACATATGTTCTCCTAACCATAACCAAGTGGTTTCTGTGCCTAAACCTAACCACACAATCACCACAGCTTTGCTGAAATGTAAAGTTTTAATTTATCCACAAGATAATAACATGCAAATGTAACATATCCACACTTTGCAGAAACCTGCATTGCCAACACTTTTTCTGCCAATTGGGTTGTGCAACATAATTATGCCAGATGTCAGATATGAAATCATTTATATTTATATATGTGAAGTAATATTTGTTATATTTATTTTGTAGTATTTCATATAATATATTCAACATATATCATTAATAAAGCAAATGTTGGCTCAGTATAGGTAAGGTAGGTTTGAACATAAAACTGATATAACATGTGCTTGAAATATAATAGATTATAGATTACAGACGTCTCTGGATTCTTTGTCATTTTTATTCAGAAAAGACTCCTTCAGCCTATTTGACAGGGCAGAAAGACTGTACCAGTAGATTAAAGTGACTGAATGTAGCAAGAGATTTAGCATTTACAGCCAGAGATTTAGAGATTTAGCCTATACAGTATCTATGTATACAGATTTTCATTTTTGCATCATTGGGCAACAATCCCATAATAACCTTTGAGCATATTGTAATTCATTGTGGACTTAGAGACTAGACTTCTGCACCTCCTCTCAGCTCTGTATCCAGACTTTAGAAAATCTAGCCTGACGACGTTGACCAGTTACAGGTCATGTCAGAGAGAGGCCATTCCTATTGGCTGTTCGCCAAATGCAGATGCACATGCACGTCCATTCGGTGAAAGCCTGATTCAATGATGGAAAATCATGCAAGGAAAATTGCTATTCCAGCATTGAAAACAACTGCCTTCACTGCAAAACAACCAAAAAAGGAAGATGGGTGTGTAAGAGAGTCTGACAATAAACATAATAAAACACACGTTGATATTGGCAAAGTGTTTCACAGATGGAGAAAAAATGTATGAATAGTCTAGCCTCATGCTAACTGGAGCCCACGGCTCATGGATGTGGCTTCAAGTTCATCAATATGTAGCTAACATTAGCCAGAGCCTGAAATCACAGTGTTTCTTCAGCCTCACTCCCCGCCACTACAGACCACCTCACCAGGAGGACAGCGGGCATCAGCATCTGGAGACAGACCCCCAGTCAGCGGCTGCAGCAACCCGAATCCAGCCAGCACAAACCCCAACTCTAAGGTACTGCACAGCCCTGACTCTTCACCAGATCAGCAAACTTTCTGTTGCTGCTGTTACACAGGTTAGACCCAGCTCTGCCGCTGGTCACTAGCCTGCTGTGGCACCCAGTGCCTGGGGGTTTGCACTGGTAGAATTTTAGCCACTACAACTGCTGACCAAAGGTCCGTCTCCCGAGCTGGAGTTTTCCCAGGAGGCATCCATTGTGATTCTTTTTTAAAAGCAGAACACCCAACACAAATTGAGTGCAGGAAGATCCTACCTGTTGTTTTCTCATGAACTGTCATGAGAAACTGTTCAGTGCTCCTTGGCATTGATCCCCCCGTACCCTAGTCCCCTTCCCCGTTTGATTTTGGTGACAGAAAAGGCTGTGTAACATGTGAAATCATCCAAAATCTGTCTCGAGATCAGGTGACTAAAAAAACCCTAGTATATGATTCAGCTAATTTTCCCCCTCATCATACATCCTGTATGGAAGTATGTATTTGTCTCCCGTCTGTATATACAGCATATGTGCACTGACTGATATTGACACAGCATAAATCAAGTAGATGAGAGGTGTGGTGTACATCAGAGAAGTTAATGCAAGTAAATATAATAACCCAACTGGAGGAAACTCACACATTTCATTATAAAAAAAAGGAAAAAGAAATACACACTGTTTGACCGACCAGTGATCTTAAGGGAAGGAATTATATCAGTGCACTAACAACACAGAAATTATTAATTATTTCTATTAATACAACTATTCTATTACAACAGGATGGTGACAATCTATAATCCATAACATGTGAGAGTTACCACTTAGGGATACATACAAAACGCTGTATGAGGGTAATACATTTTTCTGAAGCTGAAGTTGTACCGTCATACTCAGGAATTCTGTGGGGACCCCTTGCTCTGTGTGGCTGTTTGTGTGGATCTGTGCATACGTTTGTCAGCACAGGCCTGTATTCATAGCAGGGTGACGAAGTAGTGAGTTTGAAAAGTGGAAAAGCAGAGTGTGAATGGGCACGCCTGTCCGTCAGGACCAACACACTGTACTCATGTCCCTGTGAAAAACACTGAGCCATTCATCCCAAAAGTTCATACGGACACACACAGCTCTCAGTCACTCTGAGAGCCAACTTGTCCTTAGAGAGGAGAGAGGAGCTGGGCGGGCGGGCTGGCTGGAATGGGGGATGGAGGGTGGGAGACTGGCTCCTGGGCAATAGATGGCTGGGGGAAGTGTGGGTGGGAGTGGGTCAGAGGACAGCCTCCCCCCTTTCAGGATGTTCACCCAAACACAGCGATAAACTACACAGTCTCACCTCTGAT